TCTTCATACTCACCGCTGTGAAAACCTCAAATCCTACAATTAACGAACCCTTTCGGTACTGAGTAATAGAGCAAAATCATGCATCCTTACAGATAACACTGAAGAACAAAAGTTTTATTTCTGCTGTGTGTATCAGCGTTGAAGCTTATTACAAGTTTATAAAAATATAATTACGTATTAGTGTATGCTTGTAACGTAACCAATTAACATGTTTCTTCCTCCGGGAAGGTTAGCTCAAGTGGGTTTGCTTCTGTACAGGTTATTTTTTATACGCGTTTTCGCATATCCGCGGTTTATTTCTTGATGAGCATAAATATCTTATCCGCGACCAAATTTTAAAGCTTATAACCTGGACCGAACCTTTTACAGGCTTATCATGGAATATGATAAGCTTTCCATAAAATAATTATGGCGCCAGTTTAACGTCAAAATGGGCAATGTTTTCCGTTTCCCGTTTTATTCCTTTTATTAAGCAAGGCGATTTGCGGGAAGCAAACTACTGTGAATAATGAGACTTGCCTGAATCGATTTGCATATCGACTGTACTGACGTGACATTTGTCGTAGTTCTTCTCATTCCCGCAATACATTTCCCGTTGATGTTGCTTTGTTTAGACCAAAATTGCTCCCCCATGACCTTGCCATACCTCAGGCGATTAGCCGAAGGCTTCTTTCTGCGGAAACCCTGGTTTAAACGCAGGACAATCTACGAGGGATTTGTGGTTGATAAAGTGACAATGGGATAGGGTTTACCCCGAGTTGTTAAGAATTTCTTCTGTCAGTATCATTCCACCTCTGTTCCATGATCGGCTATCCTGACTGGGAGTTTTCGTGGTTTTCCTCAGTCCCCCCAGGCAAATGCCGGGATAGTACTTTAAATTAGGCTACGACCACTTTTTCCACATTCTTTCTAATTCACTATCGTCCTCTAATTTGATGCTGTGTAGTCTGAGTTACTGAAAGCGTCGTTAAATAAACTATAAATAAACAAATAAATATAAACACTATTAATATTTCTTCCCATTTCCGTCAAATTCATGATTTCCCTTTTATATTATTCATGTAGACTCACTTTCAATTATCATGTTATCAGATCGTGTAAATTTACAAAATGTACCAATTATGAATAATGCCTGGAAGTATTTTGTTCATCCCTGTGCTAGGCATTCTGTATACAGACTAAAGTGATGCTTGGGTTGCTAATTTTGCAAATTAGGGGCTCTCCAAAAGATCCTTAGCACAAGGACATTCAAACGTAGCAGATATTTCAGTAATCCAACCGCCTTGCATGAGTCTGTATGTCATCAGCAGAAAGTAGTCTCTCGGGACTTGAACACAATTTCACCGACACTACTCAACAGACCTCTGTGCTTTGGAATTTTCCTGCTCACTGCAATATCGTACGCCTATGCCATTCTTTAGTGTACATAATGCACATTCTTTGACGAGGATTATCATATAATACCTTCAGTGTCAAAATATCTAAATTATAATTAAGAGCGGATAAAATAGCAATTTGATTCAAAACGATACATGAAGAGAAAAGGGACAGTGTAAGTGTAGATGAGAGGATAATATTAAAACTAATCTTAAATAAATATGGCTCGGGATAGGTACTATTGGCGGACTATTTGAACAGGATAATAAACCTTTAGTTTCCACTAAAGGTGAATAATTTCTTTACTTGGTTAGCGACTACTAGCTGCTCAAGAACAATTTTGCTGCGTGTAGTCAGTTCCTGGCCAGAAAATAAGATACCATTACTTTCAACAAAAGTCTTACTCTGTTATCTTGGGTTTGCATTAAAAACTGGTTCATGGTAACTGAACGTACTTATCCGAAGCACATACTGAAATTGGTTCATAATTAAGGACAGAGTATAAAATCCGCCAAATCCAAAAATTTTCTTACACAAAGCCTGCTATGCCATAATAGGTTTATTCGTCTCCTACTGTAAACACACACACACACAAGGAACGTAAATTTAAGTACAGTCCACATTTGTTGCATTACATAGAACTAGACTTGTCTGTTGCCTTTTTAGTTGGTATACTTTGTAATATGGGTATCGCTGGACTATTCTGTAGTAGTACTTGAAACTTGGCTGTGTAAATCTCCTTTGCGATATCTTACAATTGACAGCAGACTTGAAGCTGTTGTAGTACTAAATAAATCCGAATTAAGAAACGAATAAGCACCCTTCTGTATTGTCTTATGAGTAATAAAAATCTGTTTTAATTGATTTTAAGAGGCTTATTCAATTGGAAAGGGATAACTTCTACGTCTATAATAATTTGTACATAAAATCCACTTTCTACGAAATCACATTAGGTGGTTAGGAATGGATATTATTCAACAGAAGTTTTCGTATGAGTATTCAAATAAAAATTTGGTAGTAATGATCGTCAGTTTGGAGGGAAAACTCATTCTGTTCTGTGTACGAACTTCCTGGGACTGGTCAATACACTCCATATAAGTAGGCCACAAAAGAGGGTGGGATGTTGAGCGGTACACCTATACATATCGCTACGCTGTGGGAATATCCGACCAAATGGTGTGGTAACCAAGGACGGGTTACGGCAGATGGATTCAACTACAAAGGACATTCGACAGGTCTACAAGGAATATAAGATTTGATCAAACTATTACATAAACGTTTTACAATAAAGAGATCTGTTAAATTTCAGACCATATGAAAGTACGAGTGGTTGTTTCCTTTATTCAAATAAGAAGAGATGAAAACATTCTGAGGCAAGGCTTCTACCTCTATAGAAACCATTTCCCCTGTTTGTTCTTATTTTTCAGCTGCTACGTAGTACTACCCGCTCCGATCCAGAATGTATTCTAAAACTTTGAATCTCTAAGACACCTTGGAGGAGTATGGGCCCACTGCAAAATCTCTATGTATACAGAATAATACAATGTAGGAACACGCGAACGAAGAGCCATTCCTTGGGCCGAATTCCAACGTGTGACGTCAGTGCTCAAGCGGTCAAAAACGATAAGCACGTGATCCAATGACTCTGTGGTTACAGATCCCGATATGTAACTACGGTTTATTTTAGCACGCTGTCAGTACGCAGCAATCCCGGAGTGGGCATAAAGTTTTTGTTTCCACCGTGTAAGACTATAAAGTAGTAAAATGTATTTCAATCCATGACAAAATTATAATACTTAAGAATTGATGTACAAAAGTAAATTGTTCACGCCAGAAAGCATTGAATGAGAACACTTTGGTTCTAAAGTTGTTCATCTATTAATATTATTTAAGAAGAATAGTAAGTAAATAAGTTTCAAGAACACTAGAATCAGTAAAATTACCAGTGACGATATGAAGGCGATTGTAGCATATGTTTTTCCGACCTGTTGCCCAAGAAGATTTTGTTGAGTTCAGTCGCCGTGAAATCTTCAATTCGTATATGTAAATTACTAACTTGTTACAGAGTTTCCTCGAAAAAAAAACTACATTCTATTCTGGGGAAACAGAGGCCAATTGAAAACTTTACAGCGTATTACCCGAAGACACAGAAATGGGTTTAAGAAAGCGTGGAGTTTTACGTCCATTCCACAATACGTTTTCATGGTCGTGATGTTCAGGCACAGGGAGAAATTCTTTCTTGAATGAAGACGATACATTTTCACACTTTACTGCGGTTGTATTTCAAACAGAACCATAAAAAGTATATTGAAAACATCTTGCTTCAGAATTCGAAATGTAGCATTTCAGATATGACTCAATAACTTGTTTTGCATTACGTGAACTGCGCCCCACAATATACTGATGGTCACTACCCACAATTTGAAAAACACGTGTAGTGAGTTCTTTTAACATTATCAGCGACATCTTTGAGCGATGCTGTATAATTACTTCAACTGCATGCAAATAGTTCCCGGTTTCACAGAAGACGTCGCAAGTTACAATGCCTTATCTCGTCTGGACCAATCACAATCCTGGTAGCCATTAATTATCTTGACCAATAACGATGTAGGTAGGTAATCCGTGATGGCCGGTGATGGCTGTGGAAGTTTGAGGAGTTGCTGTGGTATTTATGTTTCAGTAGTGAGTTAATTTTGCTGTGATATACTTTTGCTGTAATTTGTGTTATATTCACAATAATATGGGTAGATCCAGGACAAGAAGTAAGTCGCCTAAAAGACGGCATAAAAGTAAACATACACGCAAACGTTCAAAATCTCGTGATAGAAGTAGTCACAGTAAGCACAGAGAGAAATCAAGAGAACGTAATGCCAAATCAAGGTGAGTTTCAATTTTTCGCTCATTTGTCGGGTATAGCATTGAAATACGTATTTCTTGGTTTATGCTATTATTACGTAATGCCGAATCGCCGTGGATGTTTCCATTATGCTAATCTGACCGTAGTTCACTTAAAACAGTTCGAATGTATTAAACTTTTGGCTATTTTAAATTATTCTGTATATTTTGTGATTATATAGTTCATATCAGATGTTATAATTCTGTTAACTTGCACGTGTAATAAATATGCTTTCTCTGGTTTTGAGAGAGAGAGAGACAAGAGGACCTGTATATTGTTACCTGCCGGTTCGTCTGCTGTTTTACAGTATGCAGTGGACCCTTCTATGACTTCTTGGCCAAAATATTAGATGTAGATACTCCACTGTTTCTCTGTAATGCACAGTCTTATTTTCCACCTTCTATACTGTAACTTCCATCAGAAGAATCATTTCTTAACAAGGCCAAATCTTTGATCACTTATTTACTCTTAAGTTTTAAGTCTTTGCATTTATTTTCTTTCTTCCTTTATTCACATTTGAGAATGAGAGAAGCACAGTTGATTTCTCAACATGTTTTGACTGAAATTAAATTGTTACCATGTAACATTTTTTTCAACATGCATTATTGTCAGTTGGACCACTAGCTTTTACATTCTTATGCAGAGGTGACTGTAAGTTTGATTTATTCTTCCATAGTGTCAGAGTCTCCTGCAAAGTCTGTGTGTGTGTGTGTGTGTGTGTGTGAGACTGGAAAATTCCACAAGCACAAACTATAAAGATAATAAAGACACAATCATTTGCATGTTGATCTTGATAGTATGTAGATCATGATCATGATTTCTAATTCTATAGAAGGAGAATCTTTAACTTTAAAATACCAACCATCATCTGTGTTTAATGAAGACAATCTGCAGGAAGCAGAAATTGAGAAATCAACTGTGCTTGTTTCATTCTCAAATATGAATGAAAAAACTTAGAAAATAAATGGCATTTTACTGCCTCCACAGCCATTACAGACCTGGTGATAAAAAAAAGCAGTTTCCACTTCAGAGCAGCCCAAACCCAATTCTAAAATTTTTCCTGATATCAAGTACAGTGCATAAAATGTATGGTAATTTACTTTGTTCAGGAAACGATCACATTCCGAATCATCCAGTAGTAGTTCATATGTATCTGATGAAGCTACCAGAGCAGCAGGACATACCAGAAAGAGGACTTATCATGACAGAAAAATGGATGAAGTAGAAAGACTGGCAGAAATGGAAAGACAGAGGTATGACAGAATTTTTAGAACTTCTTAACACATTTACTGCCAGGCATTTCCAAACAGACCATTGTTAAATATTGAAACTTGAATCCCAAGTTATGAAGAATGGTGTTCTAATTTTTTTGATGTAAATATGTCTATATGGAAGGGTCATTCGGCAAAAAGCGTAATGAAGTTGTGTAAGATCCATATCAACAATGTGTAAATATGGACCGACAACAATGGTCAGCTTGTGTGCATTGCTATGTTACCTAAGAAACTAATTGTTGCATCACCTGTTTACTCGGAATTGTTGTGTTACATTACTGCCTTCACCAATCCGCTTTCGTTGTTGCGGAAAGAGCTGAGCTGTGAATCACTTGTAGAAATGCCTCGTAGACTAGATAATTTGTGTGCTGGTAAAAATGTTTTAGAATGTCACAATTACTTATCTTATATAAGAATTCTTACATTACAGAGACGTATTTACGTCAGATTCTCCGGAACCGTGGTTCCACTGTCAACTTTTTTTCTCCCCCACTGGTGGTATTAAAGCATATTTTAAAAATAGAAAATCTCTCTTTAGCAGTGAATGTGTGAACACAGATTGATTCACAAGAAAAATGTGTTTAGAAGGTTTTTGAAATTAAAGTCATCACAAAATGTTAATTATTGGATTGTTATTATCAAGAAAAAAAATAAACAAACTAATGAAATTTTGAAATTTGTTCCTTTGCAGAACTTGATGTTTGTAAACACATATTTTGAAAATGAACTCTTTCCTTGCAGTGAACTAGTGAAACTGTTGAGGCTTGCATTACCCAGCCAGCCTCATCATAGAATAGAGGCTTATTTTATATGTACATAATTCAATGTGTTTTTGTATTTGAAATTGATGCAGAATTTAGTTGGCATTGGTAACATTTACAGATCTTGCAATGTACTGTCATTTAGTTTTTTTTATATCATATTTAGGGCACATTATTGCTGATTGATTTAGATAAGATTTCAGTTAGAGTGTTTTTCCTGTCTTTTCTTTTCCTGATTACTGCTCATTCTATATTTCCTGGAACTTAGATTTTTATATATGCTGCTCACAGCTAGTGTAAGTACTACAAGAATATCTGAATGAATCATGTTTACTTCATCAATAGTACAGTCATCTGTGTGCTAAATTTTTGCTCACCCTGATTCCTTCTTGTATTTTCTTTTCAGTTCTCTTGTTTTTCATCGTCCGATTCACCCAGTAAGTCAAGGAGTTGAATCACTTGTTGGCGTATTCGGGCCTCTCTTTTTTTAAATATGTAATATGTCTGATTGGCTAAATAATTATAATTGTTTTATTTGTAGAAGGCAAAGAGAGTTGGAGCAGAAGATGGTGGAAGAAGAAACAGCAAAAAGAATAGAAGAGTTGGTAAAAAAGAGAGTAGAAGAGGAACTAGAAAAGCGAAAAGAAGAGATTGAAGCTGAAGTTCTTAGAAGGGTTGAAGAGGCCAAAAAAATTATGGAGAAGCAAATGATGGAAGAAATGGAGAGGCGAAGAGAGCAGCAATTGGAAGAGGAGAAGAAGCGAGAGGTAAGACAGAAGGTTAATTCTGTAGGGGTGGAGCAGTGTGGGTGGGTGGAGCAACGTGGGGCGGGCTGAAGTCAGTTTCATGGGAAGATGTACAAAATTGAATGTTCTGAAATTAATGTTTGCCATTCCTTTGTTGTTTTCATGAAGTATTCCCATGAAACTGGTTAAGAAATATCCATCAACAAACTTAAAAGACTGTGTGCTCTCCTTTAACTTGAACATGAAGAAATAAGACAATATGAACTGAACATTCTGCACATTTCTGTTTGAATGTGTTCATAAGATTTGTACGTCGCAATCGCTTCATTATATGTGTTGTATGGACTTACTGTAATATATGAAATATGATTTAAAGTTTTGGTTGTTGTTGTAGCAATTTTGTCTCAAATTGTTTACATTTGTATTACTTTCTTTCAACAGTGATAATCATAGAGCATGGCAATGTTGGTGGCAAAATTAGATTATCAGATGAATTTATGTAATGGACGTATTTGTCGAAAAACACCTTGCGGAAGAAGTGACATTTCATATAGTCTTAGTAATGTGTGTATTATTAGAAATGTGTATTTTATCAGATCACGATAGTGATAATTGTTCTGGTTCTTGGAAAAATAATACAAGCCAAACTTTTATCATATTTATGTACCATTGTCCTGTACATCTCCTTCACTTATTTTCAAACATTTTTATTTCAAATTTATTTTGATAAAAGAATCCAAATATCCTTTGTGAACTTCATTCCCCCCCCCCATTTTTTTTCTCATCTGTTAGAATCTCCTGGAACAAATTGCAAAGATACCTAGCAAATACTTCTCCCATAGCCTTTGTCAAAACATGTTTAATGTAACTGGGGCAGCTAACAATCATTTTTTTGGGGGTCCAGAGACTGAATGTCAGTTTCAAAGTAAGGTTCATCATCTGTAGAAAGAAGACTGCATCGTTAGTACTAAAGAATGCATTTGAGGCTGAGTTTACAGTTTGCGGAGGAAGAGGTCTTGGCTCCGCCGCTACAAGGTATTATCTACCATTTTTTATACTTTCAATGTCAGATTTTATCTTTGTTTTTTTACCAAGAATTATTTGCAGGGTTGCCACTTAGATCTCTCATCTAGTGCACATGTTTTATACAGTGTTGACGTCAATTGGTAAGTAAGTGCCAGAATGTGACACTTCAGTTTTTAATCGGATTGGTATGCACTACAAATTGTAGGGGGTTTGTTCCCCTGTATAGTGTACATTTGTAGACAGCAGAGGAAGTGGCAGCCTGGCAACGTGTATGTACGTGTAGTTACTTTGTGCGGTTGTTTCACCATCTTAAATAGCTTGTATCGACGACAGTATTTGCAACACGAGTGTTCCTTCCAAGTGTATAAAAATTATGGGCATTACTTTGTCAAAGTGCTTATCAGAATTTCAGGTGTGAAATTAAAATTTAAAAATAATTTTTGTGTTGAATAGTACATTAAAGTACTTTTTACAGATATTATTTCAGTTGTTGGTACTCTCGAGTAGCCACTGCTGTTGAAAATTACAAAAGTCTTAGCACATGCTGGATGGAATAGACTTCCTCTTTCACTAGTGATATGTTTGAACTGTATGATAAAGGTGGTAACTGTACCTTTATTTGCCACCTGACACACAGTGAGAGCTGCTTAAAACCACAAGTTTTCTGCATAGTTTATAATTTTATTTTAACTATTATCATTCAGGGTTTTAAGAACGCCGTCCGGTTGTATGGCCCAGTTTTATTTTATTTAGTAGGCCTGTTGTTTTGGCTGTAGGTAACTTTGCACTGTGACTGGGCGACTGGGGTTCGATCCCCGACTGGGGCAGAGGATTTTTCCTATGCGTCCAGACGGGCTCTGGGGCCCACCCAGCCTCCTATCTAGTGGGTACCAGGGTACTTTCCCGGGGGTAAAGCGCAGCCGGGGCGTGACGCTGACCACTCACCCCCATCTAGTGCTGAGGTCAAGAAAGAGTAGGAGCTATACCTCCACTCCTCCCAAGCGTGTGCATGGCGTATAGTGGGACAGCTTTACTTTACTTTACTTTTAACTTTGCACTGTTTCCAGTCTGTGCACATGCATAGTTAAAAAACAAATGGAAAGATTGATATACTTTGGTGATGACGCAAGTACGTATGTTCCATCCAGACATATTGGAAGGTACACTTTTAGTATCATTCTTACTGAGCCTGTTTCCAAGATTTGCTTTAATGACACCATTGTGCCTCAGTTTCTCATTTTGTTCCTGAATGGAGGAAAGAAGACTTTGTATGCTTGTGGCCTGAGTGCTTGCGCTAGGTCACCGCAGAAAGGAATGTTAGCTCAACAGACAGTGCTGAAGTAGCATTTACACTGTATATCGTCTCATTATGCAAATTGCTAATCTTGGAGCCGTAAAATGTCAGATTCTATTTCAGATTCAACGCTAGTATTATTGTTTATTTTTATTAACATAATCAGTGTAAATGAACCTTCAAGGAAATATTATTGTTTTGACTTTTTTCCCCAGACTTTGGTAAATGTGTCATACCAACACGTGTTTTATCACAACTTAAGCTGGAACCAATTGATTGTGCATGAATTAGATCATGTCATTGTCTATTATTAACATGGTCACTTATTTTTGTAGGAAGAAGAAAGAAAGAAACGAGAAGAACTTGAGCAGATCATGGCAGAAAACAACAGAAAAATTGAAGAAGCCCAGAAGAAACTGGTAATTATATTACGGACTTAGTCTGAAATTCTAGTTACCAGTTTGTTTGCTTTTTGTATGTTTGCAGACTGCAGTTCAAACCCTGCTATCTCGCATTTAGAACCCTTAAATTTGGTTCTTTCCTCCTAATTTGATATCTACAGTTTGTAAGGGGTTTTCCAGTGTCTATAAATAAATAAATAATCTGTGACACATCATATGCAGATTTGTAATTCATTGCCAACGACAGCTGCATAGAGCAGAGTCCTTAAGAAGCTGATTGTATGTTCAGGAAGTTGAGCAATTCCCTGCCTCTTATGGAACCCAGAGTTTCATTATGTTCACAAGAGCCGGTTTAAAATTATGTAAGATGCTGGTCTTTTATGATGTATAGTTGTTTGCCCCTGACCAACTCTCAGTCTGGAGGACCACTTTGTATCAGCTGTCTGTAACTGCTTATTCAGTACATTTGCAGCTACTCTCCATGTCTTAAGGCCTTCTGTTCCAGTGGTCCCCAACCTTTTTGTGAATATGGGCACATTTGAGAGTTTATGAGATCGTGGTGGGCACCAACCAATTAAAGCCAAATTTTCTTTTCTCTGGACAAATAAGATATGGACACCAAATAATACGCAAAACAACACGACGTTTAATGACACAAGAAACCACGCAATCAAAAATACGTACTTCTATAAGTACAGTTATTATTACTCAAGTGGGAAGTTAGTGTGATGTTTGGCGCTGCATTTCATCGGCCAGTTTTTCAAATTTGGGAGTGTAGGATGATGTTGCTTCTCACAAACAATCGTCAAGATGGGCGTCAGTAAGTCAAGATCTGAGCTTTGATTTTATAATGATCATGGTTGAACGGCCTTCATTATTCAGTATAACCTCTTTCCATAACAACGCGGGCACCCAAAAAAAGCCTTGGCGGGCACCACGTTGGGGACCACTGTTCTATTCCATCTGAAACCTGAGGATACATTATGCTATATTGACAGACTTCACATAATTTTATGTATTATCTTCCTGTGTCACGAGTAAATTCTGTCCTCTAACATATATTTAATGAATATGTTTCAGCACATTATTTGAATATAATATAAACAGGGTACATACAACTTTCATTTTGTTAAGGCGGAAGAAAGATTGGCTATGGTTGAAGAGCAGAGAAAAATGGAAGAAGAGAGGCAGAGGCTGAGAAAAGAGCAGGAGAAACGAGTTAAGGAAGAACAGAAAAAGATTCTTGGAAAGAATAACTCTCGGCCCAAACTATCCTTTTCACTGAAACCTGTAACATGAACATAGGCACAGTGAGTTGAGACTTGTGTTCTTATAATTATATGGGGCAAGAATAATCCTATATGCATTGCAAATATGACTACTGAACTTGTATAATAATATTGATTTAATTAGTTGATATGAAAAAAAGAGTGGAAGCAATTATTGTCAGTAAAATATACCTGTGGCATAGCACACTGTGAACACTTGGAATGCGATTGTGTTAATATCTGTTCCAAGTGATTGTGGGAAAGCATTTGAACCAGACATAACATTTATCTGATATTTATATCCAAAAGCAACGGGAATTATGTCAAGTACCAAGTGTCATTTCTGGTCCACATTGCTGTGCTTTTGGTTTCTGCGTTGGTCTCATCCGAGTGTATGGCATGATATGTAAGAATGATACATGAATATGTTTTTAATAAGTTGTTCTGTTTTAGTGGATCTCTTCCATATGAGCACCCGATATTTAGAAAATAGATTAGGCCAGATCTGATTCAGTGCTCAAATTTTGAAAATTTGTCAGCCTTATGATTCAAAGTCTGCTGTATTCATTGTACCTGTGGAATAGAATTTCACTGATTCAGTGACGCCTGTCAAGTGTATACAAAGTACGTTATTTTAAGGGTTGATCACTGTAATACGCATTGGTTTACTTTTAAGAATAATTTACCACAAATAGATATAGTGAGTTGTGTTAGTTGCTTGTTCAGAATCATAGTGTTTTAACTTCAGTCTATGTTGTTTTGTAAAATCAAAGTTACTGTCAAGATCTTAAAAAATTAAATCCATGGCGTAACAACTCCTGAGAGCCAAAGCCGACTAGCTTGACTGCTGGCCTCACGTTCACATGCCTAAGCATAGGTGAATGATCATCCAACCAGACATAGGGTGACGTGTGGTCAGCACAACGAACCACCAGCCACTGTCAAGATCTTATGTATTACAATTATCTAAAAATTGTTTTTCTTTTGTTCCGTTCGTAGTTATGATTATACTGAAAACAGCGAAGAAATATCAAGCATCAGAGGGGCTGGTAATAATGCATACTGCTTCAGCTGTAATGTCATGTTTTTCGCTTACCGCCACGTGGTAGAAGACTTGTTACTTTCTTAATAAGGATACATGTGCACAATATAATTTATAAAAAAATGTTTGCAGATGGATATTATAAAACTCCTTGCAGGTATGTGTGCCACATACGTAGTTTACGAGTAATTTGCATCTATAATTGCGATACAGAAAATTAGGATTAATTGAAATTAATGGAAGCGTGATTTGAAGCGAGTTTTCTTCGAGTTCTTCGGTATTGCCTTTCTAATCAGCATTCAAATCTGTCATTGCCCCATTAGGTAGTGATAGCACTGACCAAGTGTTCATCATCATAATTTTAGTCTTCAGGTAAGGGCCTTATCTGTGACCTTACACTCTCAGAAGAAAGGTGCGAGTAGTTTAGTTTATGAAGAAGTAAGTTAGGTATGCACTTGTTAAGTTGGAAATGTAATTGCTTTGTTAATAACACCAAAATTCAAAGACTTGAAAATATGTTCAGTTTGTGTTTTAGGAACATTACAACAGATTTTAATACTCGAATTGGTTTTAAGTAGGTTTAATTTTAATGGCAGTGATTGAAATTGAACTTCAAGTGTTTTAAATTATTATTCATTAGTAATTGTTCACTAATCATGAGAACAGTTTGTAACAAACAGTCCAAAAAGTGTCCCTTTAAGAAATTACTGTGCTCATATTTGTGGAACATGGTATAGGTGTATCACAGTTATCTTGCTTCATTGGTGTGGCTGGGGTAGTCTGAAGTTTTTACATTATTTATCTGCAAATGTTGGCATACAAGGCCCCCCCCAAAAAAAAAAAAAAAAAACAATTTATAATCTCCTTCTTCTATTGCTCTCCGGTCCATATTCTGTCCATGGCCTCCTCAGTTCTCCTCTTCTGTTGGGTCCGTCTGTCTGAGGCTTTGATCGAGGTTTCGAAACATCTTCCTTTTTACGGTGCAAGGTTGTTAGCCTTGCAACTAACCCCCAACCTGGAGGAACAGGGTACCTGTTTTAGTCTGACCTCTCCCCCTCGACCAATCTGGCTAGGGAGGCCCTACCAGTAGCTACGCTACCGCCAGCTTTATATAATTCGTATGCATAGAAAATGCATTTGGATGTTCTTATGCCTTTTCTGAAAGTGTTAACAGCAAATGAAAGTACTTTGTTTTTGCATTTAATCAGATTTAAGATTTAAACCTATGGTTCTGGATTTGCAGTTTGTGGTACATATAATTTTTGGTATGGTACATAATAATGTGATGCTTAACTCGGAACAGAAGTGGAAGTTTACAAATTCACTGCGGCTGATTCTCCATGGAATTTCAACAACTTGAATTTTTACAGCATGTCCATTTTATTATTTTCTCTGTAAGAGGTAAACAACTGCTCTGTTAATTCCTGTTGAATAATGACGAGATGACCTGGAAATAAATCAGTATTTTTTCTCCGTAAATAAGTAATGTAAGTTTCCATTGTAAGGAAAGTTCAATATATTTTTGAACATGGGAGAAAGGTCAAAGTTGTACTGAGTATGATGTGGTTATTCTAATATATTTTCATAGTGTTTATAGTAAATCGTCCTGTTTTCATCATTTCCGGTAAGTGTTACTTAAATAATAGCAGTAGTGGGTGTAGCTGGTAGCATCGAGAACCACCGCTATTATGCCACGTGTCATGTGACACAGTTTTCGATAGAATTATGAAGTAAAAGCACTTGCAGGTTTGATGATTGAGAGAGTAAAAATTGTTACAACAGAAATGAGAGTTTGTTTTCATTTACATTGTATGTGTGCGTGTATGTTTCCTTTTGTATTTTTTCGTGGTAATTATTTTACAGGCCGTAATTATTTTTAATTATTTCTTTGTACTAAAATGATAAAAAATAGAGGTGAATTGGTTATTGAAGTTTTATTCCCAACATTTCAGTATTCTTGAAAAAATTATAGCATCAGATGCTCCAAAATTTAATGGCCATGTTTAGTCACTTTGTTTATTACACACTTAGTAAACTCTTGTTTTAATTAAGAGCTTTGTTCACTTTTCTGATTGTTTTCCTCGGTGTTGCTATAGAATACGGGTTTCTTATAGGTTTGATAATATAAAAACCGCTAGTAATTACATGAAATACATTTTATTTTCTGCTCTGGTAAGAATTTTTATTGTGAGAAAATAAGTTGTTATTTCCACATCTTCGTCTTCTTAGCACCATGGCCCTCTCAGTGTAGCCTTGGCTTCTCTTGCGATCAATGCCCAGTCTTCACTATTCTGTGCTTTTCTTCTCCGGCCTCTTACGCCCATCTGTTTAAGATCGGACTCCACGTCTTCTATCCACCGGAGTTTCAGTCTTCCTTTCTTTAAGTTGCCAGGAGGTTTCCTATTGATGATCATCTTACATCCTCTATCATCACTCATTCAGAGTATATGTCCAAGCCATTCTATCCTTTTTGCCTGTATTACAGCTACAATATCTGAGCTTTTGAACGGCTTCTTCGGCTCCATATTCGACTGGTTTATCCTTTATTTGGATTCTTATATAAACTACACGTGTTGATTGCTTTACTCTTACTATTCTGTGTACCGAGAAATAATGTGACGACATAACAATTTTCAGCCTCAACGTGTTCATTATACAAATATTTTGTTGTTTGAAAAGAAATATTCAGAGAACTTTTGTAGCCTGTTGAAACAAGAGTTTACTGTATTTTGTTTATGAGGAAAATGGGACTAAAGAAAATTAAGATGTCAGAATTCTTGCAACTGCTGCTTATAGATATATATGCTTTACTTGGGAATTGTACTTACGTATGGACCTACAACGAGTGTAATTAAGAAATTGGGGCGCTGCCATTGGTATCAGCTTTGATGTGAAATTCTGACTTGTATGGATTAAAGGGATCTTACGTTGATGAAAGGTGGCTGTTTAATATTTAAATTACATATTTTGAAAAGCAGGAGGTAAATTTTGTACCAAAGTCACATTTAGAAGAATTTATCGCATATCAGCTGTTGGATACGTATAAATACCTTTTTTTTTCTGAAATTAAATATATTTCTGTTATTTAAGACCACAAGTAGCACGGAAAGTGTGTAAAGGCTTCGTATGTCTCTCATGAGTTGACGTTGAATCCATTTTATGTTTTCATTTAATGTATCTCTTTGTCTGTTAAATAAAATGTCTTGTGCGTTAGGAGTTTATTGATCGTTGTATGATTCAGAAAAGTATTTTTGTTACGCATTTATTGGACAGTGAATATTTGCAAATAAATTACCAGTTATCTCACAGCAGCTAGTAAGAGAATGGCTGTATTCTGAACAGAAATCTTCATACTCACCGCTGTGTAAACCTCAAATCTTACGTTTGTTTAAGTACATTGTACTCTTGGTAATGCAATTTAAAGTAAAAATAATTTCATATTGGAAACCTTCAATTATTTTGATCCAGTGTTCTCATACTAGTATTATGATCCATAAATGAGTTGGAATGGGAGCTATAGTCATTTTATGAAAATAATTATGACTATTTCACATCATAAACAGTAATTTAAACAAGTTACTTTTCTGTAATTTTATTTATTATTTTAACTTCTCTATCAGATCTCCCTTCCCTCTTTAAAGACAACATTTTTTCTTTAGCTGATATATTAAAACAATAGCTTCATATCAGAGGAAAGTAATTTATCTAATTTTTTTTTTTTTTTTATTCTTTCTAAGCTTGGATAATTTTTGTTAATGTGCATGTCCGTATCCTACGTTGTTACATACAAATGGAATCATATATTAATCGGTTTCACGCAGTTCTTTATAAGGCCTTGTGACCTGTGTGAAATGTTTGGGATATTCCTATTCATTATACTTTGACTTGATGTTGCCATTGGTGAAGATCTCTGTGTGGCGGTCTTGTGGGTCCTGACGCCATGTGGACTCGCAAGTAGGTACATGGCGTCAAAACTCAGAAGACCACCTTATACTGTTTTCGTCATAGATCAAGTTTATCAACAGATTCCTCTAAAATTAATTTTAAATCGTGTTGTTATATACAAAATTTTATCTGAAGCATGCAATATCCTCTTCCGAATTCTTTCACCTTTTTTTTTAGATTCTTTGAGTATACTGCTTATTTCATTATGTCAGGTCATAGTCAAGTTGCTGTATTTTCTTTCTTTGCTTCATAAAATCAATGTCTACTCATGAGTAGATATCAGTTGCCAACATCTAATGCGACATGCAGTTGTTTGCTGTATTGCTGGTGTTCGTTCAACATTTATTTACATTACATGTCATCTACCTCCATTGTATGTTTTTACTATTGTGTAAGTGGAAATAAAATAGAATGAAAAAACTTCTGTATTTACTAAATATCAAAACTTTTAGTCCTGTCGACACTTTCCAGAACCACGTACTGGCTTTAGTTTCAGTAGCAGATGTCATACATCCTTCATGAACAAATATCTACCTTACAAATAAACACTAAAATCAGTAGACTTGTTTTCTTAGCCTTTTTGTAAATATTCCACCACATAAATAGCTGTGACTTACTATTGTCACATTACTTTTAACCCTCTGATTTAGAAACAAGTGTATATACACACACACACACACACACACTTTCTAATATTACTTTTTTAAAGAATATCTATAAAAATGAAGGGCTGAGTGGATTTGAATAAAATTCGTGTGGAACATAACTAAGTTACATTCGTTGAATGTAAATCTTATTTACTACTGTTGATAGTTGCCACCCATAATCTCAATCTCTCGCCTTTTCGGGCTTTCCAAACAGAAAAATGTAGCTATTTCTCCTCAGCGCCGTAGGTCCTGTGTGCCCCGCCCATCTGATCCTGGATTTCATATTCTGATAAGATGTGAAGAGTAAGAAGCTGCTCATCTTGCAGCTTTCTCCAGGATCCTGTTACTTCATTCTTCACAAGTCGAAATGTTCTCCGTAGCATCATCCTGTTCTGAAACGCCATATCATTCCCTAAATATAATGAACGAAGTTTAGCGCGTATAAAAGCAAATGTTAACATTATAATTTCGTATATTACAAATCCTTACATGTTTGTACACTGAAATACGAAACTTCACAGATATGAGCCAGTGAAATTAATAAGTTACGCACCAAATACAGTCATCTATTTATTCTAGAGGTACCCGGTTCGAATCCTAACGAGGACGTTTTTAGTAGTTACCTTTTCAAGACTGATCTCTGATTTTCCAACTTAATTTCAGGGAAAAATTGTTAGTAGTATCTTATTCGATGCTGCTTGACTGCAACAACAAAGTAAGAATTTATGATTAGCATAAGAAACGAACTAGAAAGTATGGTCATGTTTCTGAAACGCTCAATGATATTATGTTTTTTTTCATAAACAAGAAAGCAATTAGTAATAATGATAATTACAATAAAGCCCAGAAGTTACGTGGTTTTTTTGTTCTTGCGAAAAGTTGATTGCCATTTTTACGAGCAACGTCAGTTGTCATATTTCTCACAGTAATTCCCTAATACAGATAACTATAAAACATATCGCTCGCGATTGCAAGCTGAATGTTCCTTTACTGCCTGTAATGTCCACCCTGTTTCATACGATTTGCCTTTAATTTTGTGTTTCACGATGTATCGTAAAGTTCGATCGATTACCATGACTGAACTCCGAGCGTGCAGTAGTGCCACCACACTCACCAGGCCACTGTTACCAGCTACCGCTGGTAGGGAGGGAGTGGAGTAGTGAGGCTTTGGCACACGCTCAGTGACTGCTGCCGGGGAAACTCGATCTCTTAACCCAGTGCTGAGATGCTATTTTCACTCTGTGAACGGGTGACTTATTTATAGAAATGGCTGATCTCATTTTAAAGCAAATTTGGAACTGGCTGGCGGCGGGATGGAGCAATATGGCCGACTTGGCGGATAGAATAGACGACTTGATCTGTAGCTTCGAAGGCGGCGCAGAAACAACAATGGATACTGTGGCTATGTTGATATTTGGTTGGATGATATTTGGATTGTTTGTACTTGGCATAGGGAGATACATTTATGGTAGGTTTATTGTCTCTTCAGAAGTGAAAGATAAATCATCGGTTGTCGTACCGTCTGCTGCTATCGCTGTGGCTACAAGTGTCAGTGAAGATGCCCCGGTTGCTAAAGAATTACCCCGAACAACCGTTTCCGCTGCTCCGAGGACGGCAGGAACCCCCGTACCTCCCACACCCCCATTACGAAAGAGAATATCAAAAAGGGGGTCTGGCCCTGCACCATCCCCAACGAGAACTACATCCTACATCCAACCACCCGTTGCTACAGGACCTGAGAGTGAAAGTGTTAAGTGGGTCAACGAAGTGTTTTATTGGTTATATTCCGATTTGGTGGTAGTGAATGAAATATTAAATGCTTGGATGCAATCCCTCAACGAGTTCACCAAGCAGTCTGTCACCGAGGTAAGTGTTTACGTATGTTTGTACCGTAGTGGGTGTAACTGCATCATATTGCCAGTACTCTTCTAGCAGCCATAGAAAGTTTATTTAAATGTTGACAGTGCAACACTATATGTTAAATTTCGGATTTATATTGGCTTGTATCCTTGTGGTTTCGGCAAATCACTGTAGAACCTTCAAAAAATTAAACTGTATCTTGTTATTATAACAGTGGCAGTGTCGCCAATACTTTGAGCCTTGTTTTTGTTTGTGGCATCATAGACATCTGTACTATGCTAACAGCGATGTTACTGATAAATCTGGCCTCGATAAGTAACTATCGGAGCAGCTGTCTGAGCTGTATAATCTGGGCCTATGTGCTGACTGGTCACATTGTTGACTTCACTATAGACGTCAACCATTTGTGTGCGTTCAAAGTATTGTTGGTGGAGTTAAGATCTTTTAGCTACGTCATAATGAATAATGTAAGAAATGTCTGGCCGTTGTGCAAGGACGTGTTTTTTGCATAATGTGTTTTGATAATTTGATATAAACATGTGCATATAATAACAGTCAAATGGGAATCATTTCTTTCAAATCAGTTATTATTGATTTAAACATTTAATATGAATACTTAAAACAAAAAGTAACATTGGGTCTTGTATAGTGTAAACATGAGTGTATAACTGGAAGGAGACAGATTGTTTTTCGGAAATGTTCCGTATTTATAAAGTCACTTTTTATTGTTACGGGTATTTGGTATACTTTCTTCCCCTCGTAATGTTGATAAAAACACAAATATCTATATCGGAGTCAAATCCACGGCCGTCGTTTATTGGGCACGAATTTCGTGAGGATAGGTTTATTGTAGTACGATGAAACAGTCCGTTTGGTATATGCCTAGTGGACCAACAATGTAGTACATTCTTGATGCGTGCCAAGATGAACATAATACAACACAGTGCATTATGTTCGAAATTAAGAAGGCTACGTGAACGAATTAGTTCAAATTAGAAGTGTACATTGCGCCTAGTGTTAAAACCCGAACCACGGAAGTTCAGAATGAATGATGGGTATAGGCTGTAATAATGAGCGGTCACTTTGTGAATTGTAAATGCTCTAATTGGCTGAAAATGCTGTCTCATAACCGTGAAGCTGACGTTTCTTGAATGGTCTGTACATCAAGTCTACAAGTTGCTTGTTTTATTTTGTTATAGTCTGCATTACGTAACGTTCAGGTGCCACAGCGCGTACTTGAAGGTTATACAGAAATGTTCTGTGCGGTCAGTGTGTATGACGGAACACATTTTAACGCCAGCTTGTCTGCTTAAGAGTCTTGGGTTTATTCGTACCAAATTTTGCTGCTCCAACATTTCCCGATGGGTTTTATTTATTTTTTCGTATACCTTGTCCGTTACGTACACATAATGTGTAGACTGTTTTCTTATTATCAAATGTGATTCATATTTTTTGAAGTTCGGATTTTTTTTTCCTTTCCATTGGTTAGCCTGCTGATGTTTAATTTCTTCGCATTCGAAGGCAGAACTGTCTGACTTCCCCCAGTCTCTTGTCATTCAAAATCATTCTCAGTTTCTATACATTACTCCAACTTAAGTGAAGTCATGGAAACCGGTTTAAACAGCCCAAGAAACTATGGAATATAAAGTATGTCAAGCGAATCTGGTATCAAAACAAAGTCCAATGGTAACTTGTAGACAAAGCAGTGATTTTCAGACTTTACACCTATATGTAAGATTCCCATTTATCTGTCAGCCACACCATTAATACCACTTCAATATATCTACACGTGTCGGAGTAGCTCAGTGATCTGTTGCGTCACTAAAGTCTGACGTCGAACGCATTTTCGTTCCGAATACTATACCGAAGTTACGCAAACGTGCAGCTGTAAATCTACCACCCCTTGTGTTTTTGGGGCTTGTTGAATTAGCACAAGGGTAGTTTGCGTTCAGAAATAATTACCGTTGAAGTACATACACGTGAAAATGCAAGCTATGTGACATCTAACAGCACCCGAAATTCTGGACGTTCTGTATTCTATCTGCCTTTTTTTTCTAGTTTCGCTACGCTTCGTGAGTCTCTCATGACATTGTTGTTTCTTCTACCATAACCTAACTGTACTCTTCGTATGAATCTGTCGGCGATATCCGCTCAGAAAGCTGTACTCGTCAGAGTGTGGATATTTCTTTGTTATAATCTTTCTACATTCTCAGGATTTCATCTGGTTTTCATGTGGCAGTTCGAATGAGATAGTAATTGCCTGATATTCTCACCGTTTGATGGCATTACGCCTTGAAATTGTCAACTGTTGTCTGTGGTAACTCTTATGACCGTACGGCGCTGGAAAACTACGACTTGCGCAGAATTGCAAGTTGAGAATATTGCGTATGTCTTTTCTCACGTGATGTTTTGTTTTCTTCGGGATTGTGAGCCTACCATTCAACATGGTCGACCTAAATCTAGGAACTACACGTCCATGGCATTTCGGTGGAAGGCAGTTACAATTGCAAACCTTGTCAGAGGCCTCGGAATAGCGGATTGCATCACGAGCGACGTCACGATGATCTCATACCGGTCAAAAGAGTGACATCATTGATGCCGGTTCCTTTTGCCGTGGGTGTAGATTTGTAGGTAGATTCACGCGATGACTGCCAGGTGCAGGTTTACTTTCGCCTACGTCAGCAGCACAACCAAGGCAACAGTACAGACACTGAATTTCACGCAGATTTATAAAAAATTCTCTCTCTACGTACACCCCCCCTCGATCGTGGGTTCGAATCCAGCCCCCACGAGTTTTTGTGCTCTCTGCCTCGAGTTGGCCGATGCCTCGTTTAAAATGGCCCATAGTTTCGGACTTAATTCAGTGTCGGAAGAAGCTGTAAATCTGCGAATTAAGAAATTTCCACAGATTTCGTTAAAGACGAGCGTCCAGTCTTTATTTTTTAAAAGTGTTTCCACTAGAATGGTCTTAACTTAGGCCTCTTTAAGAGTAAAATAGGGATTCACTTTCCGTTGGTGATTACGAAGTATTTATTTATACGTATTATACACGCACTTTTTTTTAAATTTATAACAATATAGCGGAATGTCGTTCCAGGTTTTGTTACGTTACACAATGTTTGTTAAAGTTCATATTTGAAGATGACTGTCTTCCGGAATACTTTGTCGTATAGTCTAGTAGTTTACCGACGTTTCAGATGTGTTTGCTATCAGGAAGATGAGTGAGGCAGCAAGTACCTTCGAACCGTCGGTAAACTACCGGAATGCTCAGATACTCTCCGCCGTGAGAACCTGAAATCTCTCCTATTTCCTCTGTGATGAAGTCAGTTGTCCCGCTCTCAGAATTAACCTCGCTGACTGCTTAGTAGCCAAAGAGACTGTAGTCGCAACATGACGTAAAGAAATCCTGTAGCCCTTTCCCTTCGACAAGTCACGCGAAACCGGGGTCGTCTCGCCATTGAAAACAAAGATGGCGTTGGCTGATCAGATACCCAACTTATTTAAAGGTCACGGCGTTTTATAAAGGTGAGAGATTTGTAGTCCTGTTACAGATTTGCATGTCTGGAATCATAAATGTGTGATAATTCAACAATGTAAGTCAAGTTGTGGTCTGCGAACCCGAACCGGTGACATAAAGGAAATTTTTGACTAATTTTGTGCAAGGACGTGTTTTTACAGCATCTGTGAAAATGATTTTGCAGCTATTTAATTTTATCGTATTTCCAGCAACGAAATTGTAACTGAATTTCTTTCTTCTCACAGTCTCATTAGTAGCATGTAACTTCTGAGGCAACTACTTGCAAAAGTCTTATTAAGTTGGAGAGATGTAGGCCACTTCGTGACCAACAACTGGATAACTCGATGTCCGAAACCGGTCCGACTAGCGGCGCAAACTTCATTGCCTGAGAGTCGTAGTAACTTTCTTTGGTCGTTTTTTTTTGTCAGATTCGAGCACATTTTCTGAAAACGTAAGAAAAAAGAGAGCTTGTGAAATTACAGCAAATTGTTTAAGTAAGAAACTCAATGAAACAAAAGCGATGAAATGATTAGTCCTGATTAGGAACGGCCCAGTGACCTGCTTTGCAGGTAATTGTAACAATGATCACGATAATCAACAATGGTTAACTCTGCCCAGAAAATTTGTTCATTTTCGTAACACATTAAACTTTTTTTATAGTGTTCTGTCTGACGACAGGTCCATATATTATGAACAGGATCCTTCCAACCTCTTCAGGTTGTCAGGGACCTGCTCATACATATATACATTCTTGGCAGAGATGATCAGAAGTGGTTTGCCATTGCCTTCTTCTGTGTGTGAGTGGAGTAATTTTTTGGATGCCACGGAGAAACCGGGGAAGCCCCCGGAGGAAAACTCCGTGATGCCTAGACCACGGCCTTGCCCAACCCAAGTTATAAATTTGAGCACCACCGGGAATTGAACCCGGGACCCCAGGCTTACAAGGCTAGTGTTCTGACCGCTAGACCACCGTGGAATCACATTAAACTACACTTTAACAATGGTGACAATAACAGCAAAAACCTTACGTTAGTCTGTAGAAAGAGAAATCTGTTTTTTTCTGTACAGCCTGTTCAACCTGTTGTGACACGAGGCTGATGAATCATGTGAGTCAGGCTAAAGGCGGCTTTGTCGGTCGATAAAAGCTACCATTTTATTTTGCTGCAGGGCGTGTCGTAGTTTCCGCCTGGGAAACCAGTGGCGTTTACACAGTTCCTTACGTGGCAGAGAACCTGAAATGTTACATTACTTTAAATGTAGCTGTGAATACACCAGCATAAGAAACTCTGAAGTTTCTGATTTAAAAATAACTTTGTTCTGTCAGAGTTAGATGCCCGGATGCGCTAATATATTTCTTGGCCGTCTCATAAACGTCTTTTTACCTCAAATAAAACATTTTTCATGACAAAAGTCAACTGTTTAATGCCGTTTACAGCGGAAATTTTACTAAGACCATAAATACAAAACGCGGAATTATTAAAGTGTTAAA